AGGTTTTTTTTTTTTTTTTTTTAATTTGTGTGTTTAACTGTAGGGTCCAAAATAACAACATACCATTTATTTGATCTGACATCTGAAAGTTAAAGCGAAGAGTAAACTGTAATGGTTTGGTCAACAGAAACCCTTCTATAATGTGACTCTCAATCTTAGAAAAGGAAGGTGCCTTTTGTTTGTAAAGTTGCAGGGTTACATCATTACACTTGACCCATAATTTATGTACAAGCACATTCCTGGAAATGTACTGTTCAATATTAATTGATTATATTGATATATTAGTAATATTAACATAAATTAATATTAATACACGTGTGGCCCGCCACATTTCTGGGATGAGTCAATATTGCAGGAGCCTTGAAGGAGCTTGTCAATGAAATAATTCTTTTGCAAAATGCAAAATTTAAATGTTTGTGGTTTTGGCTTGTTTAAAGTATAGCTATCTGATTCTATCTTCAAAAAGTATACATGTTATGTAATATACATGTTGTTGTTAGGTGCCATCGAGTAGATTCTGATTCACAGTGACCCTATAGGACAGAGTGGAACTGCCCCATAGGGTTTCCAGGGAGCAGCTCGTAGATTCAAACTGCCGACCTTTTGGTTAGCAGCTGACCTCTTAACCACTACGTCACCATCACCAGGGCTCCATAATATACATAGCTAGGAAAAATATTTACACAATTGAGCAAACATTTAATGTATATGTCCCAAGTGACAGACACACAGTTCCTGCCCCAGAAGAGCCAGGGTCTAACATGAGAGAAGATGTGAATATAAGTAATGACACTACAGTGAGATCACCAACGCCTCTAAAAAAAGATGGACAAAGTGATATAAATATGTGAAGGGAAGAGCCGTGAGCGTGCCTGGAGGGATCTAGAACATGTCTTGGAGGATGTGATGTTGGCACCAGAACAGACACAGTTTTCCAGGCAAAGAAACTGTGTGCGTGTGTGTGTTTTGGGGAAGAGAGGGCACTTTTGATGTCACCGACAGCTTCTGCTTCTACATCCTAGATATTGACGAATGTGCCTCTGGTAAAGCCGTCTGCCCCTACAATCGAAGATGTATGAACACATTTGGAAGCTTCTACTGCAAATGCCATGTTGGTTTTGAACTGAAATACATCAGTGGACGATATGACTGTGTAGGTAAGATTTAGGCAGAACCTTGTCCTCCCTTTCTCTCTCCACCAAACCTGCAGCCTTTCTCTGTAGATATTCTGAAGTCAAGTCAATCTATTACTTAAACAATCGATCTTCTAAATATAAGACCAGCTTAACACCACATAAAAAGTTATCTTTTTAAGGTTTCTGGCATTTAGGGAACTCCGATGGCATGAATTACATGAAACCAGGTCAATAAAAATGTAAAGTAAGGAACTTTAGTCTATACTGCCCTACCACGGGGCAAAATATCTTGAGATGGTTTTCATGGGATTTTTTTTTTTTTTAATTTGGTTGGTTTTTGTTTTGTTTTGCTTGTATTTTTGGTTCTGTCTCTGGGTACACATCTAAAAATGGGAACAATCAAGCAGTACAGTATTCATTTTTGATAAAGGAAGAATAAGTAGGCCTCTTGAATCTTGATATCGGTGGTTTGTTCACAAGTTTCCGTCTGGGTGGCTGTAGAAGAATTCATGAAGGAGATGAAGGCTTATGCTCTCCCATCTCTCCTCTTGTAGTCCTTTCACACTTTGGAAAGTTCCCATTCCACAGCCACGGAAACCACTCTCCAGTAAGATTCTGGTATCTATCAGCTATTGGCCTAATGGGAATTGAATAAAACATTTTATCCCTTAATGAGGGATTGCAGGTCTCAATGAGCCAGTGAAATGCAGTCGTCTTGGAGTCCTGGATGACTTTCCATTGGCATTATAATGTAGGATGGGGCCTGGCCTACAGTGAAGGGAAATTCTGGCTCCCTCTATATTCCTGTTCACATAATATGGGTAACAAAAGCATGCACATGACATGAAAAGCCAGCAGTTGGAAAAAAAGAGTAGGATTTCTTTCAACCCTACACTTGGCGCTTCCCAGGACATGTCTGCGTAATCATGTTGGGGCAACACTTGGTTTCTGGGTTTTCAACAGTCTTGTGAAGCCTCCACAGTTTTTCCCTCAAATCTCAAACACAAAGACCATTACAAACAGGCTCATAAAATCCTTATTTCTTTGGGGCCCCACGGCCCTCCTGCAGGCCCGTCGAGCTTGGTCATCCGATGATGGGTTAGGGGAGCATAACCCTGTTCCCTGGTACCTAAACAGAGGATCACGGGACAGGGTGGGAATTCACGTGGACAGTTTCAAAAGGAAATCAACCTTTATGATTTTAAAAATGATTAAGATTAGCATCTGAGTGCCCTCTGTGGCTAAATTAAAAACAATAGGCTATTTTGTGTGCATATGTCTACAAACGCATAGTAGAACTCTGAGATGGAGAATAGGGTTGATGAACTTCTAACTTGGGTGGAATTTGACAAACTTTCCAAGTCTAAATCCAGCAGACAAGATCAGACCAGCCTAACCCTTGCTCTTGGCAGTCTTTGGAACAAAATGCTTGGGCCTGTAAGTTCAGATGATGTCAGTGGTTCCTAGCACATCTTGTCCCTTGTTTTGTTAGGCGCTCCAAGCTCTTCCAAACATAGAATTTATTTTCTGATATTGTTATTTAGTTCTAAATTAGACAGGTGGAAAAGTTAAGGAACAAACCTAAACAGCCTACAGATTTCAATAGCATTGATAAGCAGGAGATGGAAACTGCTGAGGGGAGGTGAGCTGCGGACACACTTGCCACACAGCAGACATCAGCCAAAGCCAGGGCTCTCAGCTAAAGCACCTGGAGTTCTGAACATGTCTTGTTCTCAGGCAATACTTGGTCTGTTGAGGGTGTTGAGTGGTTGGCCCTGGAGTTGCTCAAGTGTAAGAGATGGTCTTTTGGCAAGCTCTGTGACCGCGAAGCTGTTCACTGCAATGTTGACATTTTTAGACATAAATGAATGTGCTGTGAATACCCATACGTGCAGCCTCCATGCCAATTGCCTCAATACCCAAGGATCCTTCAAGTGTAAATGCAAGCAGGGGTATAAAGGCAACGGACTTCAGTGTTCTGGTAAGTAGCGTTTGGGCATGGGATCTTAGCTAGTCCAAATAAAGCCTTCTCTCCATATCTCCTTCCTCCCTTCATTTCTTTGTGTGTGTGCGTGTGTGTGTGTGTGCGGTGTTTGCATTTACCTGGACTCTGCCTCAGCCTTGTCTTCTTTGCTAATTGGACCACATCTCCAACCTTCCCTGAAGTTGTAGGCACTAAACTTAAAGAACAGCAACGATTCTTGACTCTTTTCTCGTCACAACATACTTTCAAATACTGAAAATAGGATTTAAAGACAAAAGACACCCAGCAAATGTATCAGGATAGGCTAGGTTATGGTGCAGCAACAAGCACTCCTAAAATGTCAGTGGCTTAAAACCACAAAGGTTTTTCTAACCATGTAAATCAGGATTTTTTCTAGAATACACCACCAGAACAAAGGATGATGAAGCTGACATCGCTTTATCTGTCATCCTCAAACCTGGATCCACTTTTATTAATATATAATAAGAGTTCCATTGTTCTTGCTGGTGAACTTTTTAATGCTTCTGTGTTATAGCTTTACATTTATAAATCAAATATAGAGCAATAACATGTCACTGCTATTAATAACTACAGCAACAATAAAGGTTTATTTCTCATGCATGCTATATCCAGAGTGTCTTCTCAGTATAGTCACTTAGTGACCCAGGCTGGCCAAGGCCCCACCATCTTGTGGCAGCCCTGTATCAAGCTGTGGCCTTAGGGTTTGTTGCAGCTGAAAAAGAAGCATGGGCAATCATGCACCAACTCTTAATTAATTCAACCTGGACGTTCATAACTTCAAGGGGAGAAAAAATATAATCCTGTCACGTACCCTGGAAGAGAAGAGAAGCGGAAGTCATGGAGAGCACCCAGAATGTCTACCAAGGCAAATTAGCAAAGATTACAATGCCGCTGCTACCTAGGTAAACAATGTTTTACGGTGTCTAAAAGTCATTCATGCTTATCCTCTGTTCACATCCCTTTGAGCACCGGCTCAGCGTGTGACTAGACTTGTTGACTGCCCTGACGCAACTCTCTCATATACCCTTTAGCCGAGTTCCCACATGTTCTAATCAATATGGCTGCCAGTTGTACCTTGACCTACGTCCCATCCCGTGATCCTCTCTGCTCATTGCTCCTGGTGAAAAAGATGGCTGTAAGAGAATGTCCATTCGGTCATGACTAAGATAAACTTGACGTACTTTGGGAGACATGTGGCAGCACACCTGTAAAAAGTTCACAATATGCCAGTGTTCTGTGGCTGAATGTCATTGGACAAGAATGTGCTGAAAAGAATATAACCAAAGAAAATGAGTCTGGAAATCAAATTCTATGAAGAAATGCTGAAAGAACTTGGCAGCATTTAGTCTGGAAAAAACAGTGTGGAAAAAGCATACATCGTGCCCGTAAATATTTTAAGAAATGTAAAATAAAAGTGGCTTCCTAAAGCAGGCTAAGACCAGTGGGAGGATGTTAAATTCTCTCTCTTAAAAATGACCACCATATATCTAACAGTAAAGCAGGCTACCCCACAGAGTAGGGATATTCCACTGCCACAGGCATTCAGGCTGGGGGCTCTGGGACAGATTCCTGCATTGGACTGGAGACCAGATTAAACAACCACTTGTTCTCCAGTCACTTGATGCTGTGGTTTCTATCCCTCTGTATAGAAGTGTCCATGGAGTACCTCCATAGTGCAAATGGTTAACGCACTTGGCTGGTAACCAAGAAGTTGGAGGTTCAAGTCTACCCAAAGGTGCCTCAGAAGAAAGGTCTGGTGATCTACTTCTGAAAAATCAGCTATTGAAAACTTTATGGAGCACAGTTCTAGTCTAACACACGTGAGGTCACATGAGTGGGAATCAATTCAATGGCAACTGGTTTTAGAAGTGCCCATGATGTCCTTCTGAAACTTTATTCAGAGAGAGAGAGAAAGAGACTGACTGTGAGGGACTGTGAATGGGAGGGTTGCAGGGAGAGAATGCCACACCTTCCTTGGGAGACCCCAGAGACTGAATAAATCAACTTCCATATTGGATGAGTGGTCAAGGGGCTGGTGCCCAAGACTCCTTAATGCCACCAAATGTGAACATGTATATTCCAGTGTTTTAGTTTCCTAGTGCTGCCATAACAAAAACACCACAAATGGGTGGCTTTAAAGAACAGATATTTATTATCTCATGGTTCTGCAGGCTAGAAGTCCAAATCAGGGTGTCTTAGGCTGGGTTCTCCAGAGAAGCAAAACCAGTGAAGCATATATATACATATATATATATATATATATATATGTATATAAAGAGAGAGAGAGAGATTTCTCTCAAGAAAATGGCTCACACAGTTGTAGAGGCTGGCAAGTCACAAGTCCACAGGTCAGGCGTCAACCTGGAGGCATCTCCTGATTCACGTAGCTGCAGGGGCTGACAAACCCAAGATCAGCAGGTCAGATGGTAGGCTGCTGGCTCATGGACTATGGAGGCTGATGAATCCCAAGATCAGCAGGCAATATGGTGGGCTGCTGGCTCAAGTCCCAAGAACCGGAAGTCAGATGATGACGAACCGGATACAGGATCCAGGGTAAGCGAGCAAACATTGTCAGAACATCCATATATATAGTGGATGCAGGCCACACCCCTGAGGAAACTCCCCTTACAACCGACTGGCTGATCACATCAGATCACATCATCATTACATAACTGACAAACTACACCATCACATAACTAACAAACTACATCATTACATAACTGCCAAACCACTGAGAATCATGGTCCAGCCAAGCTGACAGACAGCCTTAACCATCACATAGGGTATTGCCCATGTTGATTCCTTCTGAGGCTCTCAGCTTCTAGCAGCTTGTAGATCGATCTGCCTCCACTGTCACATGGTCATCCTCCTTGTGTGTGACCTTCTCTGTGTCTGTTTTACTCTTTTTTATAAAACACCACTGAGAAGGGATTATGATTAGGACCCACCCTACCCCCCTCCCATATTCCAGTACAGTCTCATTAACATAACAAAAGAATATTCCTTTTTCCAAATAGGGTCACATTCACAGGTGCAAGGGTTAAGACTTTAGCATAACTTTGGTGGGGGCATGATTCAATCCATGACATCCAGGCTCACTTGTCTCAGACCATGTAGTGTAATGGTCAACAGCTCAGGCTCTGGAGCTAGGAAGACCTGAATTGAAATCTTAAGTCTGCCCCCATACTGACTGTGACCTTTAGCAAGTTTCTTAACCTCGCTAAGCTCAGTTTCCTCTGATGCAAAATGGGACTCATGGTAGTACTGTGGTGGGTGCTTGAAACAGGCCAGGCCACTGTGTCTTGGAGCTCCCTAATATCACCGAGGCTGGGGTGACAGTTCCATGCCCATCCCTAGCCCAGTACAGTAGACTCTCTCTGTGCTGTGGCCTCAGGGCTTTCTCTAGAAGGCTGCCCAGCCTCTTGTAGGCACAACCCAGAAGTGGAGGCAGCCGTTAACACCCATAGGGACAACTTTCAACCAGTGGAGAACAGGGAGTCTGTGGATAAATACCCCATTGTTCCCTTCGTAACCCGTTAACCCATTGCCATTGAGTCAATTCCGACTCATAGCAACCCTACAGGACAGAGTAGAACTGCCCTATAGGGTTTCCAAGAAGCAGCTGGTGGATTTGAACTGTCAACCTTTTGGTTAGCAGCCTGGGCACTTAACCACTGCTCCACCAGGGCTCCAGTTCCCTTCATAGTGTGGGACAACTCAGAGGTGTGTTCTACATCATCTCCCAGCGTCCCCAGCAGGATTGAGCCCCAGTTGCCCATCACTGTAATCTACACATTAACTCATCCTTTACCAGCCTTTCTCACTTGCCCGCTCCCTCACTTATGCATACTGTGGTCACCTCCTAATTAAATTACCTGTATCCAGTGCACTGGTGGCACAGTGGTTGTGCACTCATCTGCTAACTGAAAGGTCAGTGGTTCGAACTCACCAGCCGCCCTGCAGGAGAAAGATGTGACAGTCTGCTTCTGTAAAGATTTACAGTCTTGGAAACCCTATGGGGCCATTCTACTCTGTCCTATAGGGTCGCTATGAGTCAGAATCGACTCGACAGCAGCAGGAATGGGTGCCCTGCCCATTGCCGTCGAGACGATTCTGACTCACAGCAACCCAATGGGTACAGGTACCAAATCCTTGTCTCAGGCTCAGCTTTGGGGAGAAATCACACTAAGACAAGTACCTCTCTCATAGGTTTATTGTGAGATTTCAAAGAGGAAATATAGGTAGAGAGCTAGCTCAGAGATAGGCACGCAATAGACGCTCAATAACGTTAGCTGTGGTTATTAGTTATCACCATTATTATCATTTCAATCAGCCACTCTTGACTCTGAAATTCAGTAAAGGTAAATGCAAAAATTCTGTGCATACAAAAAAGAAGTTTCAGTAAGTGGGCAACTCACCTCTACATACCCAACCCCACCCTCAGGCCTGAGAATCAAAGAGATTTGGAAGAATAGCCAAGAGTAAATTTGGAATCATCTTCCTTCCTGATCATTTGACCCTTTTAAACTACCATGTGTTGTTAATGTCCAAATGAAAGCAACATCGTTAAACATGCAATTGAGTAGTGGCTTGTAGCCCATGTTTTATATATTGTAACCCAGTGTTTTGAAATTATAAATCTCACATCACATCAACACAAACATTTTTATATCAAGAAAACTTCTGCTTTTCTTCAGTCATCCAACTTCAAGTATATTTTGAAGTAAAATAAATTGTTCCTTTTTCTTTGAAACTTCAAACTCATCACAATGTTATATTTGATATCTGAAAAACATGCACTTTGTTATTACGCTTTCTGCAGCTGAATTCTTTAGTCTTTCATTGGTATGTTTATTTAAAGGTGAAAACTATCTTTGGGTCATTTGCTATATTATTTGCCCAACTTTTTTCATTTGGCTTAAATTCTCTGTAAAATAAACAGCCATGTTTCTGTTGAAAATTGATCTCCTTAACCA